CAGCTTTCATAATCATACAGAAAAACCCACAACTGGAAAAAAAAAGCCTATTTAATACACTAGGTTTGTGTGTGTGGTTAAAAGCAGTATGTTGTAACAAACCTACCCCTGATCTCTGTTTGAAGTAATGGATGGTGATTTTCTCTGACAGGTTCTTCTGGTGATGACCGACAGACTGTAGCCATGAAGGATCTCCTGGATGCTATATATCCTAGAGCTGACCGGCCCGACTACGTGGTCCGATTAGAGCCCATTCAGACCACCAACAAGGCGGTGTTCCAGTACCTCACCACAGAGGAGGAGCTGGCGAGATTTCCATCACACACAACCAGGTACGTTTTATTAAAACAAGGGACAAACCCGTGTTTATGGTGAAAGCCGTTGCATTTAAATTCACAAACAGAATGTATTTTAGTCACTCATTTGTTTTTGTTGTTCATGACAGTGCCAGAGAGAGTCCTGTTGCTTGGGAAGGAGAGACTATGGAGGGCGTGGAAAACAATCCAGTCAGTCAGCCAAATGCACCTGAGAGCCACAGCAGTCCAGGGCCGAAGACATGGGAGGCTGACGATGAGGCGAAAGAGGAACATCCAAAGCCTGAAGATGAGGGCTCCACCAGTGGGGTAGGTTGTAAATTTGTTTAATGACTCTCTTTGCAAGTCTTTTTTTTTTTTTTTTTTTTTTTTTTTACAAGGACCGTCTTGCTTTTGGTATGAAATAAGTTTTTACTTTTCCTGCCCATCCAGGTTGAAGATGTGACCATTTCCTGTTGTCTCTGTGGCCAAGACTTTAACTCCCGTCGGAGTATCAGGCGCCACTGCCGCAAAATGCACCAGACTAAACTCGAGGAGCTCCGAAAGTTCACGGAGACGCGCACAGTTCCTACAAGCCTGCTCTCTATGGTGAAAGGTAGGAAATCATACAGTGAATAAAAACGAGTTCTGTAACATATCAATTCAAAGAATAGCTCATGATATTAGAAAGAAACACATTTCCTTGTCCAGTTTCAGTTCTTTATCTGAAGAGATGCAGTTTCTAGATAAACTGTGCTTTTTGAAAAAAAATAAATGATCAGTCTGAATAGATATGTATCTCTGTGTTGCTGAAGGCCGACCAAGGACTCTCAGTACACCGACTGGAAAGTCCTGCCCAGTGTGCCTGAAAACCTTCGCCACCAAAGCCAACGTGCGGCGGCACTTTGACGAGGTGCACCGGGGTCTTCGAAGGGACACAATCACACCAAACATCGCATCGAGGCCAGGCCAGCCATTCTCACTGGAAGTCACACCACCCAAGAAGAGCAACAATTCTTCCCCAACACGTGCCCAGGGCTCCAAGACCACTCCTGTGAACTCTAAAACGTCCACCTCAAATCAAGCCCAAGGGAAACCTCAGAGTAAGCAGACGAACTCTGCCTCATGTCGATGCACCCTGTGCAAGAGGAACTACAGCTCCCAGGTAGTGGATTGACTATCACTGGTTTTCACTGATTAACAAATTTACTTTGGTTATGAAAGCATTTCCAGTACCTTCTAATAATACTCACATACCTTGAACCTTTTTTGTGACATTGCAACCACAAATCATGCATGTTATTGGAATATTATGTGGTAGCCCAATGCAAAGCAGGATATTGAAAGGTGGAATGAACATGATCAATGGTTTTCAAAATATATATCAAACTAAAAACACATGGCATGTAACCGCTTTGAACTCACCGTGTCAAAGCGATGGACATGTAGAACCAGGGATGTCCCGATGCAACCTTTTCACTTTTGAAGTACTGAAATTGCTGCTTTCACTATTGGCCAATATCAATATTGACCCAATAAGATATCAGCAACAATAGATATGAGAACAACTGGCCCATTTATTATTAACCAGTAGATCTGCGTGAGATTCACGTACTGCTTAATAGAAATGGTAGGGATGGACTAAATGTTTCCATCCACATGCCAATATCAGAGATTTTAGACCGATATCTGTATTTGCATATCTGTAGACGAAGACTTTGAAGATTCTGCTTTTTGAAATTCCCCAAGCTCAGTCAGATTGCACGAAAAGCATCATTTTTTAAGAGGATTTGATTCTATCACATGAAAAGGGAAACTTGTATCCAGGTGGTTTGTGGTTGTAATGTAAAATGTGTTGGGTGAGGTTTTCTGGTGGTGTGTTCTGAAAAACATGTTTGTTCTTTGTAGCTTATGTTAAAGAGACACATGCGCATCGTGCACAAGATCTACAGTGTCAAAAGTAACAAGTCTGGCGGCACACCATCACCTGCTCCTGCTGTAAACACCCCTGGCACGAGCAGCACTACTGTTAGCCTCAGCAACAATGTCAGAGTGAAGGAGGAAGCAGTGGAGCCGTCAGACGAAGATGATGACGTCGACAGCAGCCCTGCGCCGTCTCCCTCTAACAACAACGGGGCAGCTAAAGGCGTTCCACAGGCTGTTCTGAAAATGAAAGAGGAGGAAGCCCCATCCAGTCCGAAGGTACCTTCATCCACATCTTCATCCTCGTCCCGTGGAGGGAACACATGCACAAACATGGCAGCCAAATTAAGCAAGTTGTCAGTCGGCTTTGACTTCAAGCAGCTCTTCTGCAAGCTGTGCAAACGACAGTTCAGCTCACGTCAGAACTTAACAAAGCACATTGAACTGCACACAGACGGCAACGACATCTTCATCAAGTTCTACCGCTGCCCTCTGTGTCGCTACGAGTCACGCCGCAAACGTGACGTCCTGCGCCACGTGACGGTTGTCCACAAGAAGTCGTCGCAATACCTGGCAAAGATCATGCCCAAACTGGAGAGCAGGGCGGTGAAGAGGCTGGCAGAGGTGGTCCTGAACAGCACCAAGAGGACAGGCAGCAGCGTCAAAGAGGAGATGAACGGGCGTCACATTTCGTCATCGTCATCCTCCTCCTCCTCTTCTTCTCCATCACCTCCAGTCACCCGCAAACAAGAAGCCTCCACGTCTGCCTCGACCGCCACTTCAGCCTCCGCCCCGCCTCCCGCCCCCATCACCAGGAAGCAGCAGGAGCTTTCATCTCTGGTCTCGACTCCCTCCCCGCCCGTCACGCGCAAGCAGGAGAGACAGCAGACGGTTCACCAGTCCCGCCCCATCAGCCCTCCTCTGACCCGGCGCAGTGAGAAACACTCGCTCACTCGCAACGCCTCCTCCTCCACCTCATCCAGTAACCAAACCCCGCACACCCGGCGACACGACATCCAATCAGAGAGCAGCCCCGTGACGTCATCCACTGAAGTCAAAGTGACGAAGAATTTCTCTCTTCATGCTTGTGACCAGTGTGGACGAGCGTTTGCTAAGAAGGTAGGGATTTTAATTAGCCAACTTAATTGGTTCTAAAGTTGACTACAGTTATATTTTGATTTTTCTCTGTTGAGTCTGGCTTCCTCCTAATTCTAATAAAATTTGAGCACAATAGTTTAACTTTCTTCTGCATCAAAAAGGTTTCCACAAGTGACAAATTTTTATGTCTTGTGCGATTGCACCTAAATAAAACTCATCAGTCTCTCCAGGATGTTAATGTTTTTTTGTTATTGTTGCAGCATAAAACTACTAATTTTGTGTCACTTCTTTTCAAAATGTTGCCATCAGAGTTGCACATTTTTACCGTATCATGGTCTTACAAAGAGTTGTCATAGTTCGCGAAAATTTACATTCGTGCAAAATTTGCAAGTATTGATTGAATTTGCATCAAAAGTTGCAATCGCAACATTGCAGCATCCTAGAGGGACTGATTTATTGACTCATTAAATACTTTAAAAGAAGAAATTCAAAAACTAGAAAGAAACTTTTGGAGTCCTCAAGAAATTCAAGCAAGTGCCAGGACTCCCTACACGCTAAGTGCAAATCTTACTCCGGAACGGCAGCAGGTAGAGGCAAGTGTTTCTACGCACAATCGCCGCATCTGGTGTCAACAGGGCCAGCAAAAAGCCTCAACTGCAATGAAAACAGACTCCTGTCATGCTGAAAGTACCAGCATTTGATTGTAGTGAAGATAGTATCTCCAAGGACTTTTGCAAAAAGAGTTGTGTTGAAGAGAAAAGGTGGACGCTTCGCATGCAGAGCTCCGTCATTGTGCTGGAATGACTTTTAATCTGAGAGAGAGTCGCTTTGCTTCAATTTGCCTAAAACACTCCCCTAAATAAATAATGGAGCCAGAAATCCTACCGGGGCCAATTTGACCAACAAAGCAGAAGCAACACTGTGATGAGCAATGTTTTTTGTTTTGTCCAACATGATGGAGCATCATGCCACAAGACAGCAGTGCTGAACTGGTTTAGGGATCAAAATGTTAAAGGTTTAACTCGGTGGGTTTTAAACCCATTTAACCCCAACATGTCCTCAACTCTCAAAACCAAAAAGGTCCTCCTAAAAAAAAAAAAAAAAAGAGCCAAATCACCAGTCAGGATTTGGCTCATATACTGCAAGTCCTGGGAAAAGAAGAGCCCAGATTCAAACTTTGGGAAAAAATTGCAAGTCCTCAGATGTGCCCGGGTCAGCTTTTCTATTGCTTTTATGAATGCGCAGTCAATGGTGCTTTGGCATCGCTGTGTGTTGAGTAGGTGTCTCCTATCTGCTGCTGAGAATAGAGAGACCAGCTTATTTATTTTGGAGGACAGAACTGTGTTGTACTCCATTTTAAATAAATGTAATTGGCTGTGGGGTCAGCTGAAGAACCGCCACTGGTCTGATAAATAAAAGAAATATTAAAACACTGAAGCAGGACAATTTTGTGGAAAAACAAGGTTTCCACCTGTCTTAAAACTTTTGCGCATGACTATAAAATCCCCCAGATTGTGTGAACGTGGTATAAGTATAAACTTAATTTTATTTCTGCTTCCTCTTTAATTCTTTTGTTCTCTCCCTTTTAAATCCAGGTGTACCTGGAGTCTCACAAGCGAAGCCATCGAAACGCCACGGTGGGACCAGCGAGCAGGAGGAAAGGAGTCAGCACGCGCTCCAAATCTCTGCTCTGGTGAAACACGCAGTGTAAGAATACCGCACTCACCGTTATTACACAGACTCTTCTTCATTCCCGTCCTCCGGTTTCCTCCTCGTCTTTGTTTTTCCCCTCCTCCCCTCGCAGTGTATGTGCAATCAGAAACCACTAAGCAAGGCTGAATTGTTGCAAACCTCAGCAAATTCTTGAAAGTCTGCCCTTTTAAGATGTTGCTTACCACAAGTTTTTGTGTGCGGCAAAAGTAAGCTTTGATTCTGTCTGTGCTGAAGACGACTCCCTTCGGTAGGGAGAAGAAGCCATTAATCAGCACACTGACCAGCTGTTTCCTCAATTCTTTATTTACTTACTCGTGAATCGCACTGCCGCTCTCTGCTCACTAAAAATGGCGACACGTTTCTGTCCAGGCTTTTAAATCTATAGTTTTATAAATAAATAAATAAATTAGAGGTTGCTATTTTTATGACTTTATAACTACAATCTTCCTTTTTTATCAGGATTTTATTAAATGGATAATAGAATAGAGCATAAAAGTGAAGGACTCATCTGGATTCTACTCAATTCTGATAAAAATGCTGTAACTTCGGTTTAACTTCAACTTGTGCTGATGATTTCACTGTTTTTATTTTGTTTGTTTGTTTTTTCTCTTCTCTCATTTCGACTTGCAGATCGCCACAAACGAAGAACAGAAAGCCACAAACAATTACACAGCAAATCACAACATTTAACTGGAAATTGAGACTACTAGAGGAAGAACAAGGAAGACCCGGAAACATGAAGGAAGAAGCTAAGCAGGGCCTTACAGAAGAGAATAGTTGCATATGAACCAAAAGAAAAGAAAAACTGTTGTAAACTGACGATATGTAGTTTCATAACGAAGCTATCAACACAAAGACTCCAATCTGCTGTACATATACATATCTGTATTTACTCATGTGAATATGGAGCTATATGCAGACTACAGATATTTACTGCTTTGCTTCTATTACCCTGCATTTAGCGAGTTGCTGGAGGTAGTCTGCGTGAATGAGTGAGAACGAGGAAATCAGAAACTGGATTTCTGGGCCCAGCCCGGTGACATATGAAAGATATTTTTTGAATTCTTTAAAAATGAAGAATATTATAACTTAATTTTCCTCCGCTGAACTATGCCTCGTTAAAGGTTATTCCACTGGCATCTCAAATCAGTTCCTCGTTTGCGGTCTGACATTTTTTGAAAGATGTAAATTTCCAACCCTCATTTATTTTCCAAATGAGTCGTCTACTGTTCTCTGCTGCTTGGCAGCACTAAAACTAGCAAAGGTGTACTTGGCTCGAATATGAATTTGTTTTAATTCAGAAACGAAAAAATAAAAAAAATCAGACATATTGTCCCCATTGTAAAACAAAACTCAGTCTTTCTTATTAATGCTAAAACCTTGTTGTCTGATTGCGCTTCAGCACGACTGAAGGTTAAGTCTATTTCTTCAGATGGTTTGAAACTTTAAATAATGTATGAAAGACAGAGCTACAATGAGACTGAGGGTAACAATTTGCAACAGGTTACAGTATTACTGCTGTAGTTTTTTAAGACATTAACTGGAAGAATTTACTGTCCAACTGCCTTTATATTGTCTTCATGTCCTTCCACGGCCCTATTATGACACGCTGTTATGTTACCTTGCATCCTCAGTGCCTAAGAGCTGGTCTAGGTGAGCTACAGAAAGCAGAACCATCCCTGACTGAAAGCCCTCCACAAATCTACACTGGAGCATTTTTACACTATCTGTCTGATCTTAGTTTTTAATCTTTACCAATGTAATATGTTTATTTTTTACTAGTTTGTGCATTGTTTGCTGATTAAAAATGTGTTTCTGTGAGTCCAACCGTTGCGATCGTTTGACAGCGACACCTAAAGGTAGTCTTTGAGACACTGGGAAGAGTTTGGAGGGAATGAAGAAGACCAAGATCGGAGGAAAAGTGAGGAAGACCAAATGTAGATATGTCTTAATGTTCAAACTGTAAGCCATGAAAAAGAACAAAAAAGCAGAAACAAAGAAAGACCAACCTTTATTTTTGTAACAACAAAGGCTTCTGCAGCAGACATACTGTGTATTAACTCATCCATGTCGGATGGCATAAATAATAGCTATAATAGATAACGTACTTATTTACAAGTTGTTGGTTTTTTTTGTTTTTGTTTTGCCCAGATGTTTCTAACATGTTTGAGCCGTGAGCATGCCATTCTGCCGCCGGTTTAAGTTGCTCACTTGTTCCTCGTTTTGTTTTTATTTCATTTTTTTTTTACTGCTTGTTAAAACACAAGAGCACAAAGACATGACTCAGAAGGGTTTAGTTCATGTATGTTTTTTTTTCTTGTTTTTCTTTTCTTTTTTTTTTGTCCTGAAGTTTTTGTTCATCATATATTGTTATATGTTAAGCTTTTTCCTCTAGAGACCACCAGAAGTAGAAAAGCCTTTTCAGATGTGACCAGAATGTTAAAAGCCACTATTTAATAAATAAAAAATATTACTCAAAAGCCCCCGAGTGGATTTCTATATGGATTTGTGTTTGTTTTGTATTAGTCAGTTATTTTTTATTTATTTATTTTTTTTTAAAAAAATCATAAATTGTAGAATTTCTTCAACTCATTAGGGCCCCCTACCGGTCTGGGGTGGGAGGGCACAAAATAAATGTAAAAGAATTGGCAAATGCGCTTCAATAAATAATAGAACATTAATTAAAGTTAATAATTCAATTTGAAATATAAATACAAATTAGTGAGTGCCAATTATATTCCTCAGCATCATATAAGACCAATAAAGTGCATAAATCTGTCCTGATTGTTGAAAATATAATCTGAATTGGATTTGGCCAAATTTGATTAACTCAAATGTCATTTATTTCTTTGTCATGGTCAAATTAAAGCCAACATCACCTTGCAGGCTCTCGGCCTGCTTGATGTCCTGCTCAAAGTATCTCCACTGCCTGGAGATCAAAGCTTCCAGCTGCTGTGACACTACGTCTTGAAATACACAAGTAAGTAAAACCGATCACGTTTTAAAATCTGAATAATCAAAGTAAATGCACTTTTTGATGATTATTTTTATGCACGCAGATGCGCCTGTACTTTCTGGATCATTGCACTTTGGTCACTTTGAGGCAAGAAAATCACCATCTGGTTTTCTCAACGTTGTAATTACACACTCTTGCCACAAGATGGTGCCATTGACCCGCCTCTCTGGGTCTTTTCCGAACGCGGTAAAATCGACAAATTGAACGTGTTGTCCCCCTCCCTCTCCTCCCCCCCAAACGCTGTCAGGCAGAGGGAACACCCCAGTCTTGTTCCTAATGCCTCCACACACAGCTTATCAAATTGTTATTTCACAGCAGATGGGACGCGGTTCATTTGTTTAATTCCGTTCACCACAAAGAGTCACGGCGCGCTGGTTTTTACAAGGAAAGCTGCTTTGAAGGAGGGGATAATCAATGGGCTCAGTGGAAAAAAAATTGGGGGAAGTTCGTTCAATTAACCGTGCATTATTATTATTATTTTTTATGACTTATTAACGTGTTGTCCAAATAAGGAAGAAGGGACAGAAATGCGTCCGACTGATCAGTAATAAACTTAATTGGATGTGGAGGAGGGAGTCCGCGCGAGGACAGTGGCGCAATTAGGCGTCGATTTGGTGCGTCGCGCGCCAGCACCGAGGAGTCCGAGCGGGCCGTGCGTGTGTACGCGCGCGCGGGCGGGCGCTCCAGCCGACACAAAGTGAGACTTTGAGGGGAGAAGTGACCACGCGCAAAGTGTGCGTGGGAGCTCACGGATCACCCTAATCAGGTGGGTTTCACCAACAATATTGATCCGCGCCGCGTGTCATAAATTCCTCCGCTCCGTCTCCCCCTCCTGCACCTCTCTCTCTCTCTCTCTCTCTCCGTCTCTCTCTCTCACTCTCTCTCTCTTTCTGTCTGTATCTCAGATTCATTCTTGGTCATCGGCTTCCACAGACAGCCTCTATCTCCATTGTCTCCTTAAACAAGTGCGGAGTTAATAGTCGCAGTTTGCGTCACGACTGCAGCTCCATGCCCTTTGCGGATCTTTTTTCATCATCATCATTATTATTGTTGTCTTGCAATCAATCTTTTGATTTTTGGAGAGAGGAGAAAGAATCCCCTCTCTCTCTCTCTCTCTCTCCAGCGGGACTGAAATATATACATGCCTATTATTTGAGCTGTGAAACTGCTGAGCTCCGCAAGGAAGTTGCCTCAGGCGGACAGGGACCCCGCGGGATGCTGCGCCTCTTCCACGTCGTGGGTCGGAACCTGAATTTCTGATTCTCTTACCTCAAACTCTTCCCTCCGTGGGCGTCTTCACATTCCTTCGGTGATGGGTGTTTAATGCCAGGACTGTCTCGTGCGCCGCGCAGTAGTTGTTGGGTGAGTATGGACGTCTGAACTTGATGCACACACGTCGTCCTGGAGGTGAACGTGAAATCCTGCAAAGTGCATTTGTCTCGCTCTCTCTCTCTCTCTCTGCACTGGTACTAATTAGGCTGCAATCAGAACCCACCACCCCAGAACCGAGCCCATTGGGGGCGCATAACCAGCGCACACGCCTAGACTTTGATCTCCAACTCTCTCGACATGCATTTTATCTCCGAGACGCACGACTCTGTCTGTGCGAAATGTTGGAGGAAAAATGCGATTGGGCTTGAAGGTGTGTTCTTTAAACGATTGTATGTTTGTTTGGAGTCATGCATCCGCCCTTAACAATCCAAATGGGGGTGCATGCAGGACCTGCGCAGGTAGTAGAGGAATGGGTGTGAAGATCAGCAAGTGGCTCCAGGGAGGAAGAGAAAAGTGGTCCAGAGGGACTCGCTGACCAACAACTCTCGGACCACGAGTGAGGAAGAAACGGTGGGGGGAGAGGACAGGAAAGCTATTTCTTTCTGAGAAGCATTCTCTCCCCAAAACCAGTGATGTGGGGGTGGAGGATAGGAAGAGAGGGGGGTGGGGGTGCTGAATGCAGCAAGGGATAAGATTGGGAGGAGGAAGAGGAGGAGGCAACTGTGGCTTGCACAGGATTGCAGAAATAAGAATGAAGTCGCCGGAGGTGGACGGATGAACTCCCAACAACCAGTCGAGGGTGTAAATTAAAAAGAGCGACGAGCTTCACCGAAGGCTTTTTAGGGTTCAACCCTCTTCATCTTTGAGCCACTAAACATCACAGCAGGGGAACCCTCATCATCATCCTCCTCCTCCTCTCTCTCCTCCTCTTCCTCAAGGCAGCCACAAGAGAGATTAAATCATTTCCACCCCCTGCCCCCCTCCACCCACCCATCCGCCGCTCTCCCCCAGCATTTGAGAAGAATCATAAGAGCTCTCTTGAGGTTGAAGGAGTAAGAGCCAAGACGATTAGCATAAGATCAGGTGTGTTGCTTATGAGCGCAGACACACAAATGTCACCTCTTTCACCCTTCGAGTCGCTGATAATCTTCAGAGACACCGAGTGCAAATGAGGCTGGAGACCGCCTCATTCACCCCGATCAGATCTGTTTCTTTTCAGCGTCCCTCCGGAGACATTTGCGTGCAGTTGCAGCTCGAATAAACAGAACAGGTTTTAACTTGTTACCTAATGCCTGTAGGAGTTGACAAAATGCCTTCAACTTTGTCGTATATTGTCGTGTGATGGCTACAAGCTTGAGTATTTTTTTGGGGTGGGGTGGGGGTTGAATTCCATGTGCAAGATCAACAGCATGTCGTTGATCAGGTGTTGCCAGAAACTCTTGACTTGGACCCTTTGCACACATGAATATGCTTTGATCAAAACCATCCCACTGCAGCGCCGGGCTGTATGTTTCTGGTCATTGTCCTGCCTTTGAGTGTCGCTTCACAAAACGTCCCGTTAACCCTGATCACTTGGGAATCATCATCATTGTCATTATGTCATCATGGCGGTTCTCTTCAGCAGGGGACCAAGGGGCAGCTGGTGTAGAGTTTGGCACGCTGGGGCGAAACGTTCCAATTTGGTCTCGTCTGACCAAAGCGCCTTTTCCTGCACGTTTGCTGCGTCCCCCCTTATGGCTTCCTCTTTTTCCTCCATTCTTCCTCGAAGGCGAGATTTCTGGAGTGCATTCTAATTCCGATTCTTCCACATGAGCTGTGGATCTTGGCGGATCTCTGTGGCTGCTTCTCTGATTAACGCTCTCCTCGTCTGACCTGTCAGTTAGCTGCGTTGCTCTTTCCCCTTGAGGCCTCCAGAGCAGCGTGGCATTCATACCGTTAAAAGAAACAAAACAAAACAAAAAAATGATGTGGCTCTTTTGTTTCGCGGGACTTTTGGAGACAGCTGAATGCACCCGCTTTCATTTAGGGTCGTCGGAGTAAAGGTGGCTGAATTCAAAGCAGTTGATGTTTGTGTCAAGGGTATGGGAAGCAAGCACGGCGGCTTTGAGTAATTGTGCAAAGCGCTGTGAAATAAAATAGGAACCTCTGCTTCTGAGACGTGCTGGACTTTGATTAGACCGATTCGGAAGCAGATGTGAGTTACATACGCTGCACATCAGAATTACTGGGGCCACTAAACCTCATTAAGAAACCCTCTGTGATTTCGCCAAGGAGAAAGTGTTTAATAAACAATGATGCAGTAAGTAGACTATGGTGTTTGCAGATGAATCAGAGCTGGCTAACCTATATAATGCTTGCTTGGCTTGTACAAGTGGCTTTGACCTATTTCCATTTTGAGTGGGGAGGAACTGATGAATTAATTGGGACAGGAATGAATTACATTCATCAAGTGTCACGCCGGGATGTCAACCGATTCCCAAGCCTGTTCGTGGGGCTTTGTGTGGACAAAAATCAAGGTTGGGTGGGGTGGGGGGGCTAAAGTGTGTTTCTAAAGGCTGAGCACAGGAGAGCCCTTGTGTTACCACAGGGGAGGTTTTTTTGGGAGCAAAAGGGCAGGATCTGATCCAGCAGGAACAGATGCAGTGAAAGATCAGGAGCAGGATCTCCTGCAGGGCGGTACAAGCTCGTCTGTCTTAAATAGCAAGCGGGGTGGGGGGGAATCCCAGCCAGAAAATGATTTATTGCTGTCCAGTTCTACAAGATGGAAACCCAAGATGAGGTGATTACTTAAAAACTCAAGATTGTGTTAAATGTTTTGTTTTTTTTTTGAGAGAGAGAGAGAACAGCATTACAAAAGCCTCTAAAAAAATACTTGTCAGGTTTTGGCTGGCTTTATTGTCAAAGAATCAAAAGGGAAGCTTTTATCTTATTTTTTGTGTCCCTCTGGATCAGCTCTGCCTTCACTCTCTCTCTCTCTGTTTCTCTCGTGTATTTTCCCTGCCACTGATCAATCACTAGCTGAGTGATCACAGCTGTGTTCATCAGTCTCTCAGCAGCACACCCCTGCTGTTTTGCTTTGGATTTTGCAGGATGTTTTTCTACCTTCAGAGTGAAACTTTTTCCACCACTTTTCCGAGCCGGACTGCCTGTCGTTTCGTTGGCCGTGGAAACGGGATCTCCGTGTC